TTGGGGAAGAACGTATCATAAAGAAAGCTGAATTTATCTCACCACCAGGGAGACCGGAGGGTAACCTTGGGTTTCGGAAAGACAGCTGCAGCAGTGAATCCTCAGGTGCCCTGAGACAATTAACAAAGAATAATGTCTTCCTGAGCGAGCCAGACCAGCATGGGGGGAGCATATGGCTGAGCCCAAAGTACAAGAACTGAGCAATTAATAAAGTAAACTTGGAAGAAAACAAAGGGCCTGAGCTGGCTTCAATCTGCACATTCCTTCCCAGCGACCGCAGGCACCAATCACTGTGACAGTGACCAGTAACAGGCATCACATTTGTGCTGGGATTCAACTGTACACTGCACATGCTGTCTTACACTTGTGCTGCCATTTCAGTATGTTGCTGTATCACCCTGCTAAATCAAAATCCTGTGTAATACCAAATACACCAAACAAATAAATTCCTTATTAAACCCTGACCGTGTGAAATCTCTACAAGAGCCTGGGCAGAGCACGTTGGGTTTGGACAACCTGGATTGAGGCAGCACTGTCACACACAAACCGGGGAAAAACCCATCATCCTGGCATTCAGCCCTCCTCCCGAAGGCTCGCCCCACGCTGCTCAGCCAATTTTCCCTCTGCTCTTAAATCCTGAAAACATTATTCTACCAAACGCACTCGCACCTCGTCCCCAGCTCCGCACTTCATTTTCCATGACGCCCAGACCGAGGTCTGCGCACCGCAGGACTAAAAGCCTGAAAGCCAAATCACAGAATCGCAGTAATTATCGCTTTGGCCTCCCGCCACGAAGGATCAGGATTTGAAACAGACCCCAAAAGGATATGGAGAAATGAGAAGGCAAAAATGTAGTTCTACCTGCGCAGCAAGCAACGGTTATTTGTTCGAAATGAAAACACTTACTGTTAGTGAAATCCTTTTATACTTGTATCCCTGATCCTCTGCACACTTGAAGTTTGACTTGTCAGCCTTCCAGCAGTAGGAATGTTAACGTTTTGCGTGCAAGTCACTTTCTGAGCTGTTCTTCTTACCCTATAGCTCTAGATACATTACTGAAGCCGTAGATTTCACCGGAGCTGGTACCCCAATAAAGTGTCTCTAAAGCATACTGCAAAAGGCACGGCTTCCTGCTGCCCCAGATACAGCGATTCCTCCGGGGAACGGCGAACAGGAATCTCTAAGAGGGTTTTGCTGTTAAATCTTTTCTCGTTAAGACGCGGAAGAGAAAATCTGCTTTGTGACAGTAGCACCGCAGGGAGTTAAAACCAAAGGGTCACAATAGAGCCACGTTTACAAGAAGCAGCTCGCTAGAGGAGAGGTACAATACCTTGCAAATGCTGAACACGGCGAGTTTCCAATAGGCAGCTGTTCTTCCAGAAAACAACAAAAAAAACCCCCCAAACAACTCATCATACATGCAGGCCTGCTAGAGGAGAGGTACAATACCTTGCAAATGCTGAACACGGCGAGTTTCCAATAGGCAGCTGTTCCTCCAGAAAACAACAACAAAAAAAACCCAAACAACTCATCATACATGCAGGCCCACTGCCATTTCCGAATTGGAATAAACAGCTACACAGAAAACGTATGTAGTGACTGAAAAAAAAAACCAGCCAGAAATTCAGCCTAGAGTAGTACAAACACGGGGAGAGGGGAATTCAAGCCTGTCTCCATTTCCTAGACGCTGTCCTCATTACTGAGCAGCAACACACCACTGTCGATAAAACCCAGTCCCTCCACCTACATCCTTATAGGAGACACTAACAAGTAACTTTTTAGAGGGTACTACAAGCAAAATGCCTTTAACCAAAAATTAAAAAAAAAAAAAAAAATAGCTTGAAAAGACCATTCCTTGCCTAGTTGGCAGACAAGTGCCCCAAACTCACTTCTCTCCAAGATCCCGAATTCAAAATTTGAGCCGATGTGGCTCCTTTGCCTTTTCTTTTCTGAATGGTGTTTTCCAGTATGAGACACCCAGGTTCGACTCCAAAACCCCACTGCTAGTGCTTTAAGCTAGTAACGTTTAAAATGGATTCTGACATAGATATCTGCTTTCACATCGCCAGGAAGAAGGTGAAAAGGAGAAATTAAAAACTTAATTAAAAGCTAAGGATGGAAAACTGAGCAGCTCCCTTTCCTACCTTTCTGGGAGGAGGTATGCGTGGGTGGAGAGATGTAGTGTGAGACATGAAGCTCGAAGTGTTTTTGCAACACCCTGCATTGAAGCCATCAGACACGCTGCGACTGGTTAAAAAAACAGGAAGACAGGAGTGATACCAGTCTAATAACGATTTTAGATAGCATTCAAGTTTCGAGTTTGTAGAAGAGGTGCTCAGACAAGACAGAACAGCTTAGCCCCATTGTTTCTCTAAAAGAAGATGTCTTAACATCAGAGGAACAAAGCGATAACAGCAGCTGCTGGCATAAAGTCACTGCAGGGAATTCCTGTCCCTTTCCAAAAGCTGCCACCAGCCCAGCAGCCTGTGATGAGCAGGAAGGCAGAGCCCTGAATCAACTCTGCAAGCCACCCACAGGAAGTCCCCGGGTTGGTACCCGTAATTCCTCAGGTATTTACAACAGCGCTGTCATCCCGAGTCAGCCTCTGCAACAGTTTCACCTGCTGCTGCTCACTCCATAAATTACGCTGGGAGTGGGGGGGGTTTGAGGGGGGAAGAGACTTGGAAAATAACCAGGAAGAGAGAGGATGGCAGAACCAGTTCACATCAGACGATGGGTAAGATACCAGCACTGACTCACTGACCGACTTATCAGACTACCCTGCTGCGATACCTACATGTGTAACACAACACCTCCCCCCCGCAAAAAAAAACCCTCCACAAAAAAAAAAGCAAGCACCCCCACATGCAAATAGAGGTCATCTTTACTGGGAAAGAAATAACAACAGACATGAAAGAAGTACCAGACTTCATTAACAAAAATAAATACACACGCTACGTTCAAGGCGCTTTGAGCTCCCAGCTACAAAAGACCATTTTTCTGAATTCCACTGTTAGTCCCCACATTTCATGACATCTGAAGCCAGCCCAGATATCAAAAATCACAATGACACTACTCTGTTTTAAGAAAATAAATTAAAATTAAGAATGCCACAGGTTTTAAGAGGGCACCTGCAGGACAGCTGCTTACTAATTGCTCAGACATGTTAAGTCAACTTGCTTTAAATACATTAAGCAACCAGCTGAGAGAAACAACAGCAGCAGCTACTTCAAAGAACAGAATGACCTATGAGAACAATACTTTACACGTTACTATATGTTTCTTTATTTGCATATAAAGACTAATTAAAGCACCAGTTTACAAGACATAACAGAACCACTTTTTTAACCTGCAAGATTAAAACCATCTACTTTAAAAGCCTGGTAGCAGGCAGTACCCAGCACCACTGCTCCTGATGGGGGTGAGGCAGCTCCAATGTTTTCCCTGTACGTGAAGAGTTAACACTCTAATTAGAACATGCTGGGGGAAAGCCACCAGCTCTTTTTTAAAAGAGCCTCACTTCCAAGAAATCTGCTAGACTTTATTCATACAGTTGATTTATTTTAAAAAAATTAAATACCGTGCACTAGCACTCCCAAGAAGCTCCCAGAAGCGTCCCCTGTAAAGGCTTTTAAGGAAGCTAAACTGGACTAAGGAAGGTCTGTGGCAGATTAGAAGAAAAGAAGCAAATCTAGGATGAATGCATAGTGAAAAGAGATTCCAGCTACAATCAGTTCAGCAGATACATAAAAACTAGATGGGAGACGAGGCAATAGATACGCAACGAAAAATTGATGATCCTTTGGCACAGGGCACAGATTTCCAGGACAGTAAAATCTAAAGCTGTTTGCAGTCATACAAAGCCCTCACGATGCCAGAAAGACTAATTGAAGTGGCAGATAAAGTCTGTAGATAAAAAGGGAATGCAGACTGGAGAAAGGCAAACATTTCCAATTTGTGTTAACCACTACAAGAGGAAAAAAAAAATAATATATATATATAAATAAATCCAGGCTCTCACGGCGAGTTCCATGAGAACACTAGTTTGCTGTCAACACTGGGAATTATCGGGGAAAAACGCACATCTAGAAAGCTTTTGGTCCAAGAGAGTTGCAGGTATTTAATACCTCTTTATAAGCGTCAGTAAAAGGTCAAGTAAAAGGGGAAAGAGAGAGAATCGCCACAACCAGTGGCCAAGGTTCAAAGGAGCTCGCCAGGGGAGCTGATACCGGGAGGTGCTGCAGCGTAAAGGAAGACAGGATGAACGACAACAGGTACAGAGCAGAATCACACAGAATCTTAGTGGTTGGAAGGGACCTCCGAGATCATCGAGTCCAACCACAAAAAACAAACAAAAAAAAAACAAAACAAAAAAACACACCAAAAAACCACACCACACCAAACGCCCACCAAAAACACCGCACCCACCAACTAAACCCCACACTCAACACCTCGCCATAAAGCAATAACCTTGGGCACTAGAGCATGCCCTGAAGAGCCATGTCTATACGTTTCTTAAATATCTCCAGGGATGGTGACTCCACCACCTCCCTGGGCAGGCTGTTCCAGTGCCTGACCACTCTCTCAGTAAAGTAATTCTTTCTAATATCTAATCTAAATCTCCCCTGCCCCAACTTCAGACCATTTCCTCTGCTCTTGTCGTTCATCCTTTGGGAGAAGAGGCCAACACCTGCCTCTCTACA